ATTTCTTTAGTTTTGGCTTTCAAAGACCAATACTTGTGTAGGCCAAAGTGTTAGGTTTTTATTCCCCCAAGTCTCTTTTCACTAACAGTTAGAGGAGAACGGAGAAAATGTACCTTTCTCTGATTTCCCCCTTTTTAATACCATGGTTAAACATGATCCTTGAAAGAACAAAGGTCCTAAAAGGCACAATGCATCAAGGCACTAGTACAGAGAAACACAGCTGTGGCTTGCCCCTGCTGTACTCTTGGCATCACAGTAGAGGGACTAAAATGTTGGTATATTTAAAAAACAAAAAACAAAAACACTTCAAAATCTTCTGTTATTTCAAAACCTTCAGTTATTTCAAAACCTTCAGTTATTTCAAATAATAAGGAAACAACAGTTTCCTTAGACAGAATAATACTTCATCAACATAAGCAGATCTGAAAACGTACCTGTCAAGGTCATAAAGGGTATGTGAGTTCTCTGTTATCACTTCTACTCCAGCTTCTTTAGCTAACTTCACTATAGCTGCATCTCTCTCTTTTCCAAAGGGCTCTGAGTCATACTCAAAAGTGAGACAGGTCACTCCCCATTCCTGCAAGAAAACATACAATATCAGCTAAGTACAAATATGGGGGGTATCATTTTGAGCATCATCCTTAAAACCTGGAGAGAATACTTAAAATTGCACCATGCAAGGATGGCAAAATAAAATAAAATAAAAACCATGGAAAACTATTAGGCAGGGTATTTTGTTTTAGAGAACTAGCATTAACACATATTAAAACATCCTATCCCTCTCAAACTACCAGTAGCTGCTCTAGCTCTTGCTTCAAAAGTATGTTCGTATTTAAGAGTAAAGGAAGGTTCTTCTTGCTTCTCAACATTTAAAAAACACTTTTTATTAGGATTTTCAACAACAAGCATACGTAATAGCATACAATTCAAACCAGTATAAAACCAATAATGAGAATTTCCCTTCCACCCCACCCACTCTTTATTATATGTTGTTTATTTAATTACTGTATAAAGAACTGTTCGTCTGCTTATCTAAATTGCATAGAAAATGCTTCTTGTAACTAGTTTCTATTTTGATGATTTACAGTACATTGTATCTTAATCTGTTTTGCCAAAATTCTAGTTTTTGTTCCAGTGAACTCTGTGTGGAATTAAAGTCTGTAAACTA